GTACATGTTGGGTCCTGGTTACTATCTCCACCTGGTGTTCTGGTGCATCTAGTGTTGATGTTCATCCTAGACTGAAGTGGTATTGATGTGAGGTGATGTACATGTTGGGTCCTGGTTACTATCTTCACCTGGTGTTCTGGTGCATCTAGTGTTGATGTTCATCCTAGACTGAAGTGGTATTGATGTGAGGTGGTGTACATGTTGGGTCTTTTTTACTAGTTGCACCTGTTGCCACATTCCTGACACAACATACACATAGAGTATATGTCTGTTCATTTGTAGTTTTTCTGCAGGCAAGTCTTTTCAGTCCTTGTCTAAAGTCTCTCAGAAACAGAAAATAAATGCAGGGATTGATTGCTGCTAGAAGGCACCACAGATAAACAAAGGAAAACATCATATATTGTACTGTATCAATATCCATTGGAAATATGGAAGGAGGTCGGAACCACAACAACATATGCAGTATCGCTAAAGGAGACCAACAGATGGTGAACACTACAATTATAGTTATTGACATGTAGAATATTCTTCTGTTTCTCTTCTGTCGTGAACGTATCATTTCTATTGCAATTATTCCCTTGACGTTGCTCAAGCTTTTACGTAGTTTATAGTGTATAATGGTATACAAGATTATGATTGCGATCAAAGGAATGATAAAGCCCACTAATACAATTAGAGACAGGAATATTATAAAAGCTTTCTTTTGGTTAAATGCTGGTGACCATGAGGTAAAGCACATCGTGTAGCCCCATTTCTTAGTCAGTCGGAGGGCGTAAAAGTACGGAGAGAAGAGAGCCATGGCTACGATCCAAGGGAAAGAGATAAAAAACCATCTTGTTTTACGAGTTAAAATTTGCCTGCGAGAAGGGTAAACAACAGCTATAAACCTTTGGACTGTAATGATTAACAGACTGATGGATGAAATGTGTGGTGATATATCAGAGAGGAAAGGAACCAGTTTACACAGTGCCTCACCAAAGGGACCCTCCACTAACCACTCGCCATCATGTACTGTTTCGCTTGAAATCCTCAATGGCATCGCTATCAATGGAACGAGCAAGTCTGATACAGCCATGTTGACAATAAAGTAGTTCATATTCGTTTTTAAGTTTTGATTACAATACACGACAGCGATGATGAGTAGGTTACCAAGTAGAGACCAGACAAGTAGAATACACCACAGGGTTATTTCAGTATGATTGGTCAGTCCTGATGTCCATCGCAGTGTTTCATTAGCATGGGATGAATTGTTCAGGTACATCACAAAACTTCTTTTTTCAGTGGTGTCTGGGAAATAATCTTAAATCATATTATAAATGATATTAAGTTGTTACATTATACACTTTTTGCATTCGTCAGAGTACACACTTTTTGCATTCGTCAGAGTACACACTTTTTGCATTCGTCAGAGTACACACACACACACACACGCACACACACATACATACATACATACATACATACATACATACTTTATTAGCATTCCCTTTCGGGCTTTTCAATACCAATTTACCGTCAATAATTATAACATTTAATTAAAACTAACTAAAATATAGAATAGAATAGAAAAAATAAAACTTAAAACTACTGCACATTGATTATACCTAAATGCAAGAAAGCTACCACAGGAAAAAGAACATCCGCAGCCCAGCGGGATGGGAATACACCAAAAGACAAAGAAACAATATTACCAGTGATCCTTCTTTGTCTCTCAATGCACCCCTACCACACCAAGCCACAATGCTCCCCCCCCCCCTCCCCCTCCATATGACAACTCTCACGCATGCAGGTCTACCTAAAATCTAAAAGTCAAAATTTGAAACAAGTATTATAAAAATGCACATTAAGTGAAATAGTTTTCCAGCATTTCGTCTTTTAGTCTTCTCTTAAAAGCTCTTAACGTTAACTGCTTTAATTTACACAGTGAGTCTCGTGATTATGGCAGAATATTTAAGTCGAGACTTCAGTATCTGCCATAATGGGAGAGGGCCAATCCTGGTGTTTCAACAGGTAGCCCAACAGAAACCTAGCTTGGGTTACCTGTGGTGTTTCTGATTATCTTATTACCTAAAATTTTCGAAACCCTTTTTTTTTTCGCGTTTTTCAAAAAAAGAACGTTTACCTTGTTTTGATTTTCTTTCAATAGGCTTGTGCTGGTACACAACTTGTACAATGATCAACGTTAAGGTTTCAGAAGGTAATTTCTAGACAGTGCTCTCCCGCACCTGATGATCTTTATGTCCAATAGTACTATGATATTATTAGTGCAGTAGGTTTGTGCTCGTACACAACTTGTACAATGATCGACGTTAAGGTTTCAGAAGGTAATTTCTAGGCAGTGCTCTCCCGCACCTGATGATCCTTATGTCCAATAGTACTATGATATTATTAGTGCAGTAGCTTTGTGCTGGTACACAACTTGTAYAATGATCAACGTTAAGGTTTCAAAAAGTAATTTGTAGACACCTGGCCATGGTTCTTTAAACGCGCAATACAGTACTACGATATTATTAGTGCACTGAGTAAGTTTGCTGGTACACAACTTGTTAAATGATCAACGTTAAGATTTCAGATGGTAGTTTATAACTGTTTTACCAGACCAGATGGTCTTAATGACCACTGGACAGTACTGTGATATTATTGCTTTTTTTGGTTTGTACATTAATATTCATAGATAAGCGTTTAGGTTTCATCAATTATGGAGTTTGAAGTTATGGCGGTAGTCCTGTTTCTCTTTGATTTTGAGTGACACGGTTTTCCGCTCAGAATACATAAGAAGGTTTTGGCGTCATAGCTTTTTAAGCACAACTGGATAGATTGTAAGAACACACCTACCTCATTCAAGTATACATATCATTTTTGTACACTTAGGCGTTTGCAAGACAGGTTTTATTCAGTTATACATTAAGTGGACTTAAAAGCTTAGCTCCCTGACTTCTTAAAATGCTTCTCCTACTTTTTAAACCCTGAGTCTTAAATATGGTCAGCTTTTGAACCGTTGAAAAAAAAACTCCAGGAAAAATAAATTTATTCCTTTATGGAAAGTTTTCTTTTATCTGATTGAAAATTACCGCCATCCGTCCAGGTCCATAACGAGCTCGAGGGAAAGAACATTGAATATCTTACCACCACCAATGCTCACTCCCTCAGGGRAAAAAAGGAAATTTATGCCTTTATAAAAAGTTTTCTTTTATCTGATAGAAAATTACCGCCATCCGTCCAGGTCCATAACGAGCTCGAGGGAAAGAACATTGAATATCTTACCACCACCAATGCTCACTCCCTCAGAGAAAAAAAGGAAATTTATGCCTTTATAAAAAGTTTTCTTTTATCTGATAGAAAATTACCGCTATCCGTCAAGGTCCATAACGAGCTCGAGGGAAAGAGCACTTCAACATGTTAACCACCACCTTTGCCAACTGGTCATAAATTTTAAAAGGTATACAGTATACTTTTGAAGTTGTTTGAACATCTTGCTCGCGCTTTGATCAAACATGAAAAAAAAATTTAAAAAAAGGATCGCACCGAATTTCTGTTTATCCTCGGTCTTGAATTGAACAAACAAATTGTCACAAATTTGTTATATCGTTCTTTTGGTAGTAATAGCAAAACAGCTTTGAGAAATTCTTCATCAACAACTTTCTTGTTAGAACAGGTGTTTTGTACGGCACAAAACAAAAACTCGCGGAAAAATAAAAAGAAACTCGCGGCAAGAAACAGAAACGGCAAAAACAATCCAGAAAAAAAAGTAAAAAATCAACAACAACAAATCATTGTGCAATGACACTCGTTCTGCCATGACTTACAGATGAGCGGTGAACGCAGCGTGCAAAGCAAGAGTGGACAAAATGACCGGCCATAAGCATTTTTGGAGTTTGAAAGAAAGAAGCAAATGTGGCGGTAAAGTGAAATTGTTTATATTCTTCCTTTCCATATTTCTTCTTCTTGTAGGCACGTATATTTTATTTTGGTTAAGAAAAACCGAAAAATACACAAAAGTTGGGTTACAGTGGCCTGGGAAAGAGGGCCGGAGCAAAACAGCTAAACGCGCTGTGATTGGCTGAAACAAAATTTCACCGCTCAGCTGGATGCATCTCAGGAAGGAGGTTCATTCATTTAGAAACCTTTTTTTCCGACTCGTGCTATTCTTTTAGAGTCTATATTCTTCGATTGCACGTTACGTCATCGCGGCCACTCGGGGGAGCGTTGGTGCCATTCAACAAAAGACGGAACCAAGATGGCCGCCATGTTTTTGTCTTTTGACTCTCTTTGGAATGCTTGTAACCCATCAATAGACCGCACGATCTAGCTTACTCCTATGTTGACAAGTATATTGATCGTATGTATATGTATATGTATATGTAAATGTATATGTAAATGTATATGTATATGTATATGTATATGTATACAGCGATATGCAGAAATTCTGATCCCACCAAGTATATAGTATATAACTATATCGGGTGCATTATGGGTAATGGACTCGCGGGATTCAAGGCGGGATTAAAAGTACCAAAGCGTTGGTTGGCGTTTTGTTCAAAGATAAGTTACCTTTCAAAACAAACTCCGCTTGTTCCAACCAGAAAAAGAATTTTCACCCTGCCTAGAACTCGACAGTTATTTTCAATATRAACCGCTGTTTATTTTATGCAATTTTGATTAAAACAAACGGCTTTAGTGCAATGATGATTAATATTCAAACTTTCACTCTCGTGAGTGAACTTGTTTTGCATAAAACTGCAAAGCTTTATAATAGCTTGAGCCAACAGAGAGAGAGAGAGAGAGAGACAAAAGAAAAAGTAACCACAAAGAATCACTAAGTTATCAGAGGAGAAGTGGAAGAATATGCCTCTCTTAAGTAAGAATAACCTCCGTTTATCTAGAAATTATATTCAGCATGTTCATCAACTGATCGAGATTTGAGTTGACGCTCAATAACAATAACACGGTAGACTACGATTAAAGCAAAATATCCTATCCAGAGTAGCTCATGAACAATTTTCATACCACTTTTGTCATAAGTATTACCGACTGTTTTGGTTTTGCTGTCCTYGGAGTGATCGATTGTTTTAGAAGGGCACATATAAATAAGCGAAGAACGAGTTCAGAATTGAGCCCAGCTCAATCGAAACTTCCAAGAAGAACGACTTCTGAACTGATTTTAAACTTAACCAATTGCAAAACTTCCAATGTTTTACTTTACATCAATAAAACCGTTTACAATATGACATTTTTTTCTAATAGTGTAGAGGTATTAAAAAGTAAACACATTCCCGCCTCTTGACTTTAGCGCTGTTCATAAACAACACTCGGTAGGCCAGCCAACTTGGTTGGATCAGAATTTCTGCATATCGCTGTATGTATATGTATATGTATATGTATATGTATATGTACAGCTGTATATGTATATGTATATGTATATGTATATGTATATGTATATGTATATGTATATGTATATGTATATGTATATGTATATGTATTGATTACCAGGTAAGCTACGATATAATCAGCTTAAGGTCAAGGATCCGGACCATCAGGAAGGAAAGTCTCCGGCTTCAGTAGAATGAAATGCATCCTTCAATAATAGAATCAAAATGAACACTCGAGACGTGACCAGACAGCAACACGTACAGTAATAAGTGACTGTAATTATGAAATATGGAAGGACAATGGAGATTAATACATCGGAAACCATTCATTTCCACAGAGTAGTGAAAGGTATTTTAATATCRAAAACCACAATTCCTAATCATAAGTTCATACTATTGAGAGATTTCAGTCTCTGACGACTACTCCTCCCTCCCACCCACCCATTCCTACTGTGCCATATGTCTCAGATAGTCTACTGTGTTATCTGTCCGTCTGTCTTTGGTCTATTGTGTCATCTCTGTCTATCTTTCCCTCGTCTACTGTGTCATCCGCGTGTCTCTCTTTGCATGGTCTACTGTGTCATCTGTACCGTGGTCTTTAGTGTCATCTGTCTATCTGACTATGATCTATTGTGTCATCTGTACGTGGTCTACTGTGTCATCTGTCTATCTTTCGATGGTCTATTTGTCATCTGTCTATCTGTCCATGGTCTATTGTGTCATCTGTCTATCTGTCCGTGGTCTATTGTGCCATCTATCTTTCGATGGTCTATTGTGTCATCTGCCTATCTGTCCATGGTCTA